CCACAGTGATGCAGCCCCTGTGCAAAATCCTCCCTGGCTGGGAGGCCCAGCTGGTCTCCTGTGCTGTTGTGCACAAAGCAAGAGTTTCTTAGTGCACCAGGGTGCATAAAAGGCCTCTGCCCACAACTAAACAGAAAAACAAAAGAGCATGAGGACCTGTGTTCTGTGTAAACTCTGACACATTGAGAAATAGGATGTGGCTGACTTCTACAGGTTCCTTGAGCATTGCAAATTCTATTCTTTTTTAATTTGCATGTAAACCTGAGATGGTTAATGAGATGCAATCAGTGTATAACATTTGTACTCAATCTGCCTTTTCTCCCTTATTATGTAAGTTTCACTATAGGATGAAGATGAAGTGGTGGGCACAGTTCCCTCAGCCTGGTTTACAGGATGGGAGACCCAGCCTACACCTCAGGAAGTACCACAGAGGTAAAGAGGTCACTTCTGGACTTTAAACTAGGGGACAGATCCAATTGCAATATGGAGAAAAGGTGCACTGTGGAGGGCTAACACCATGATTAGTAATGATACCGTCCAAGTATGCGCTAGGTTATATCACATATTCCACGTCAATCCAGTAGGCAAAGCTGAGTACTCAATTTATGAATCTGATCTCATCAGAATCCAGGAGTTAGTTGCAAACAGAAAATGACCCCTCATTTTTCACATGAATACTATAGAACCTACTAATATAACAAGATGAAAAGTGGCAAGAGACTTCTTGGGAAACTTGTCCCATGGTCCATAGCAGTTGGACAGGGAATTTATAGATGTGTTAAGCCGTGTCTTTCTATCAGTACTCAACAAGACATAGAAATACACTAAATACCAGTTAAATTTAACAAATGTATTACCTATAAAAATAGGAGAAGGGTAAAAATAATAGAGTAAACTAGAAACACAAATTAATAAAATGAATTTGATAATATAATAAGCTTAAAAGGGGACTGAGAAAATGATAAACAGCATGATAAAACAATAAGAAAATGAGTCATAGAAATAAAAGGGACAAGAGATCAAAATATTGGGTCACATTAAATGTAAGTAAATAAAGTTGGTGAAGGAAAACACAAAAACTGCAGAATAAGTGAAACAAAGTCTAGAATTCTCTTCCTGAGAAAGTTAGATGACAGAAGTATTTTTCTGGATTTTCTAATATTGAATTAGTACTTATGTGGTGAGAGTGGTAAATTCCAGTCAGAGCAGGTCTACCTCTCTCCCCAACAGCTGATTCTGCTGACAGGTGAGCTCTGCTGTGTCTCAGACCCTGGGCAGTGCCAGGAAAGGATGTGTATTTCTGTGTGTGTGTGTGTGTGTGTGTGTGTGTACATGTGCACGTGTGCATGGAGCTACTGCCCCTGCACCTAGCTTTGCAGCCTGCTGGCCAGGTAAGTGAATACTTGGGGTAAAAAATCTCCATTCTGCACCTTCATGGATGGAGCCAAAGTTCATCAGAGGTCACATGTGTAAATTCCTCAGGAAGTAGAGAAAAAAAAAAACTCACCACTGACTTGTAACTGAAAGGGGTAGTGGAGAAAATGAACCATCTACAATTTGGTCTTACTCTCACTCTATTGAGAACCAGCCCCCTCAGCCAGGCACATGTGAGGGGTCCACTGGTACCCACACAGAGCAGTGTCCTTCACCAGCAGAGAGGCTATCTGATTCTACTCTGAGCAAGCATGAGGATGAAATTTCCCCTCTCCACAAGTGTCTCCTGAGGCCAACTTCTGCCAATCACTGAAGGACAGGGCACTTAGGGTCCACTTGTTTGCAGAAGCCCATAATAGTTCACTGCCAAGCATTGGGACTTTCCTAAAATGGGTCAGGTTACATCACTCTTGGATATCACAAGAGTTACAATGAACTTCTACTCAAAAATTCACATGACCTATAGAAGCACTCACTTGCAGAATAAAACTGTTCCCTGAGTTTCAAATTTACAAGAGTAACTGCTTTCTTCTTAGTCATGTCCATTGTGTTGGGAAAGTGGCTGATACAGAGTCAAAATATTACCACAGAAAACGTATTTGTGTGACAGAAACAGATACAGAAGACAAACTAGAAGCTCTAAAGCCAACTTGGGAACTTTCCAGTTACAGCCACTAGATGTGATGCAGAGAGCATTAGCTGCAAGTCAAAAATACATCTAAAGGAGCTGACGTTACACAGTGACACTCTGAACTGCAATCCTTGTGAAATAATAAAAAAGAGCACAGAAAGCACACAAAGGAGGGAACTAACAAAAGAGAGTGGGAGGACAAGTGAAGAAAGAAAGCAGGAGGAAGAGGCAGGAGAGGAGACAGAAGAGAAGAGGAAACACAATAGGAAGGGACCAATTTGGGACCCATTTTCTGTTATGTGTCACCAAACCTGCCTGAGCTGCTGTCACTTTCATCCAGAAAGTCCTGAAGAGCACAGCAAACAGGATCTCCCGTCCCCGCCCTGGGCATGGGCCACGCAGCAGAATCCTGGGCCAGAACTCACTCTGTGCAGACTCCTGGGCCCTAAACTAAGCAGGCTCACAAGGACTCTCTGTGAGTGAAGTGAACAGCAAAGGGCAGTAGAAATGACCCTTCCCACAGCTGTTGTGAAGTGATGAGGGCTCTAAGTAAGAAATTAAAAAATAAAATACAAAATTTCCTTGAAAGTAATGAGTGCAGACCAATACGGCTGAATATCTGTATTTCAACAATGTCTGCTTCTGAAGGATTGGGAATTTTGAACCTTGAAAGTGGTGGATGAGGTGCCCAAATGCAATATCTTGAGGAGGACAGAGCCATGCAGATTCCTCAAGAATGGTCACAGCTGCTATGTAAAGACCCATAGATCACAGTCAGCCATGCTAGGTGCTAGAACTCAAAGAGACATCTAAGTGTCACTGAAAATATCAGACAGCAAAGGGCTCTTCCCATACTTCTGACTTGGAACTTATGAGAGGATAGTGAGGAAATAAATTATAAACCTGATATTCTCTAAACAGTAAAGGAAACTAATGGAAAAATAAAGCATTAATGAGCTGTATAAACCTGACATCCCAATACATTTTATACACACTGTAAAATCACTCAAATCACGCTCATAATCAAGCCAAAAACATTCAGAACTCAATGTGTGGTTTATTAATTGATTTAATCAGTGTAACATTAGCTTTAATTTTGCTTTCAGAAGATTATTGCTATAATTATATTCTTAATTATTAAATATTAAAATAAATTCTTAAAATCTGATATGTCTCACCTACGATGCTGGTTCTCTTCCATACAACACCTCCAAACTGCATGTGAGTATTAAAGCTTGCTTATTTCCAAGGACAAGAATACAAAAGCTGACGCAATGCGTGTACAAGTCTGATGCTAACAATTCGTGTCCTCCTTCCCATGTGTATTAAGCTTTAGAACTTTGTCATGTGACTGCTCCAATGAGCTGAAGTTTATTTTCTTTCATTTCATTTACTACTGACCCTGGTGAGACAGATGAGGAATAGGGGCTTAATAGTCCAGACAGGTCAAAAATGAATATTTCAACTACTTAGACTCTTTGGAAAGAGCCCGCACTTTCAGAAGGCAAAGCCACCCAAGACGGTGAATGACAGTCAACCAAACACAGTGAGGCTGAGGCAGGAGGATGGACAGGTGGAGCTGAAACTGGGCAGCTGAACAACACAGTGAGACCAGTCACACAATCAGAGAAATACAAAGGATGGGAGATGTAGATCAGTGTGAATCTCCTAGGTTTAAGCCCCAACACACACACACACACACACACACACACACACACAGAGAGAGAGAGAGAGAGAGAGAGAGAGAGAGAGAGACAGACAGACAGACAGACATAGAGAGACAGAGAGAGAAGCACATTCCCAGGGTGTCTTATTACAATAAAAGAGACATTGTAGCAACCTTATTTACTAAGATTACCCCAAACATTCTTTCCCAAATGTGTGAGAGGCACACTGCAGCTTTGGGCTATCATAAAAAATAACACTTATTGACTAAGGACAGCATGGCTTTATTCTCTCCCATCTCAGATAAACTCCAGGACCACGGCAGCCATTGGTTCAAATTACCCTGAGGCATTAAAAACCCTGGATTCAATGGTGACATTCTGATATAGAGAATATCTCTTAAAATGATGGACCATGGCTCTTCAACATCATTTAAAAGAAAGAGTAGCTAAGAAAAGGTTGCATTATGATCATTCAGAAAAAAGAAGTATCAATTATTTCTCTTATTTTCTATAAAACTAAGAGAAATCTTTGCCTAAAACATAACTGATGTGTTTGTCTACGTGTGTGTGTGTGTGTGTGTGTGTGTGTGTGCAAAACAACAAGCTTGAACAGATATTTACAAATTTAAAAATCTAGTCACAAGGAATTTCACATCCACTGTATAAGGCATATTTTTTTATCTCTTGCACTTAACAGAGTTACTGGTCTCCAACTTGAAGACAAATATTATTCTCTATATCACATTCTTTTGATTTTAGTGCTCCTATGTCATTTAATTTCTAGGTCAAGGAAAAGATTATTTGTAATTCTTACTTCTAAGATGAAGACTGTTCCACTGGTTACAACAAAGGGCTTCTCAGCGCTGTTAGGCCCTATTAATGCTAGAAAATGCTAAAACTGAGTCCTTGTGAAGGGAGAATTACTTCTTCCTCTTCCAGGAGACTAGGAGGCATGAGACTTGCCCTCCCAGAGACTGATCTGCACACACCCTGTATCCTGGGTACTGCAGTCCTGTCTGGAATGGGCACAGCTCTAAGCGCTGCAGAATACTGCGGAATCAGATTTTCCCAGGGATCCTGGTACCCACTGCTGCACACAGCATGGACTGTAGCTCTGTTGTTTTCCCCAAATGCAGAGGGTGTTTTGTACCACTGTGCCCACATGAGAAGCCTCCCTCCATGCTCTGCACTCTTTCTGCACCACGGCACCCACCAGGGAATTTGCATTTTGTCCCCAGGGAGGACCTTCCCAAGCAAGCCTCAGATAAAAGCTGGCTCTAAGGTGGCCTTGCCTGATCAGGACTCTTCAGTTCAGCTTCTCAGAATGAGGCTCCCTCTTCAGCCCCTGGGGCTGCTATTGCTCTGGATCACTGGTAAGGACACAGGGAGATGAGGTGGGTTGTGGGATGAGAGGGTGACTTTCGGAGTCTGACAACACATGATCAGTTCTGTCCATACACGAGATGTGCAGTGCTGAGTTGAAGCGTGGGTGTGTGAGGTTAGATCGGTAAGTGAAGAAAATTCCTTAGGTATGCAAGAACTGCCCTCTGATAAAGATTGCCACAAAGATAGAGGGATCCTGAAATGAATTCTAGAGGGGTTCTTGTAATTAGAAACCTTGGAGGCAAGCTCAAATTTAAAAATCTTTCAAATCTATCAAAATGGCTCGTAATGTTCATTCCTGATATTTCACTTCTCCTCCATCATTTTAGGATCCACAGCAGATGTTTTGATGACCCAGTCCCCACTCTCTCTAATCATTGCCCCTGGAGAGCCAGCCTCCATGTCCTGCAGGTCCAGTCAGAGCCTCCTGCATAGTGATGGAAAAATCTATTTGAGTTGGATGGTGCATAAGCCAGAACAGGCTCCACAAGGAATAATATATCAGGTCTCCAAACGTGAATCTTGGACCCCAGAGAGGTTCAGTGGCAGTGGGACAGGGACAGATTTCACATTCAACATCAGCACGGTGGAGGCTGAGGACACTGGAGTTTATTACTGTCAGCAAGGCATACATACTCGTCCCACAGTGCTACAGCCCCAAACACAAACCTCCTTGCCTGGGGAGGCCCAGCTGCCCTCCTGCACTGCTGTCTGGGGAGCAGCACAGCACAGCCTGCTCTGTGTGACAGAAAGAGGCTGAATAATCAGAACAACAAGTTGCAGCTGAGGCCTCTGCCCGGAAGAGTGAGGAAAAGAGCAGAGCACCAAGGACTTGAGTCATGGAAGAGAGAAAAGAAAACTCTCCCTCTGAGGTCTTCTTCCTGCCCTTTACCCAGCAGACGCTATAGGAAAGGGAGGCAGCGTGGTGAATGTATTTTAAAGGCAACACTAATAAACTGCCTTGTCTCTTTGGATCTGTTGTGTGAGGGCACCTGTTCCACTGGTTTCAATCTGAGGAATTGGAGAATTTCTCACCATTTGTTGTGAAACCAGGAGAGTTCAAGGGAAGCAGCAATGAGCAGCAGGGGGACTGAGGACTTGGAAGGGAGCAAATTAGAATTGTGAGGAGTCCCCAGCCATCCCGCTGGTGATGTCCTAACCCAGAGGCACAGGAGGGATTTGGGGATCAGGGAACTGCACTGAACTACGAGGAGCAAACCCAAAGGATTCGGTGATCGAAACAGATGAAAACTGACTGGCACCTGGAAGGTAACACAGTGTGGAAAGCAAAGATATGAAGAGAAATCCATGGGGAGGCCAAGAAGGGCTGGCTATCATTAAAAAAGGAAAAGAAAAAAGGAACTGAGAGAAATTCATGCCCCAGAGCCACAATAATATTAATAGCGCGATTTTTCAGTTTTCAAATGGAAACTTTACCTACGAAGGGCATTTCCCTTGGGGATCTTTGCTATAAAACCAGCCAAATAATTTCACTTGTGGGATCACAGCCCCTAGAGGAGGAAGAAACTGAAGGCTTCGCCTTACGGAAGTGTGCATGTGCTGCCCTCTTCTGGGAAGCTTCATGCACTGCAAGTGTCCAGCAACTTGGTTCAACCTCTTTCAAACTATTTACTGCAATGTTTTGCTTACAATATTGTGACCCATATCAGTACCAGCAGAACTGTCACAGGTATCTCAAGAAGCTCCAGGCATTTAATGTTTACCTTATTTCCATTGTATATTGAAAATGGGCTCACACAGAACACTCGTGAAACATCATTTCCATCATCCTCCTAAGTTGATCCCCTTCTCTTGCAGTCATTAAAATTAACCCTCGCACACAGCTCTGCCCAGCAAGTGCAGTATGCATAACACACAAACCATTCTCCATGCTACAGAAGTTAAGTGTGTTAAGCTCTAATGATCCTGCAGTACACACTTACAATGCTGCTATCAACCCAGCCACCGATCACAACTGGTGGCAGAAACACAACCAAAATAGGGTTAGCAAAATCATACTGCCACCATCCTTAGGGCATTAATTGTGCACAAGGCAGATCTTGTGTTCACCTACAATTCTGATTTTTTCCTACAAGGTGGTCTTTGCACAACTTTGGATGCATTAAAGTTAATCATACAAGTGACAGAGATGTGGGCACTTTCTTCAGGTTTGCTCCCAAGGCAAATGCCTCCCGGGCCTCACCTTAGTCTGTCCCAGGTACCAGGAGCTCCAAGGACATGGAGCATTTTATTCACACGAACCTGGCATCTTCACTGTGGAGAGCAGGCCGGCCAACCCTGTGCAGCCATAGCACACACTGGAAAGGGATAAACACAGAGACAGAAAGACACATGAGGGAAGGATGGGCTGGGAGAGCACATGTGAAAGAAGCACTAAGTGAGGGAGAAAGGGGTGGGGCGGGAAGGGCAGGGAGGAAGAAGGAGAAGAAACAGAAGATTAAAACTACTGAGAAACAACTTTCAATCAAAGAGTCTGTTCAGAAAAATGAGACGTTAGAAGGAAATGTGAGGTGTGTGAGACATCAGGGAGCCCCAGCAGTGGTTCCACATTAAGGGAAATGCTAATGCATGTTCTGCAGGCACAGGGAAAATGAGGGCCAAAACTTCTAAGGCACATGGAGCAAGGCTGCAGCCAGGAGAGATACACATAATGTTCTCATTATTTCAATCTCTTCAATAGTTTATTGATTATGCAGTCATGGGGTTTATAACATGAAATTGAAATGAGTGACAGTGGCATAGTGGAAACACGCCATCACCTGCCGTCACTCTCAGGGTAATGGTATAGTGGACAACTAGGAAGGAGGCTCCAGTTGCAGCCACCCACCAAGAGGCCACACAGTGGGAACCACAGATGGCGACCTAAGGACCAACTATGATGTAATTCCAAAGCAACAGAAAACTCACAACAGCATCAGCAGAGAACTGATTTACTTGCTTTTCCCTGCGGTTCTCTCTGGTGGCAGCTGTGTTTGCTGCTGTTGCTGTAGCTGTTGCTCATTGGTCACCTCTGTGTAAATCTGGTTCCTGGAAACTGCATCTGAGCAACAAAGATTATTAAGAACTTGGTGCATTGCTAGATTCTATGCTCAGGAACTCTCCCATGCTATTTTATTACTCCTCACAGCACATGCCAGACATGCTATAATTTCCAGGTGAGAAATCGATGCATGGGAAAAATTACCTAATTTACCTAACATCACATATAATTCACCAAATGCAAATTCAAGCTTCTATTCTTCTCTAGGAGCTGATTGCCTCCCCCCACCATCACATAGCTCCCACACCTGGGAAGAAATGTGCAGGCCCAATGTCTTCACCATCCAGCTGACAGGCTGGGTAAGTTTCCAGCTGCAGATGGAGCAGGAGCCTGTGGGTTGTAGGACCACGACCCCAGTCTGCTCTGAAAGCATCAGGGTGGGTGTGAGCAGTGAGCCCGAGCCCAAACTGTGACAGTGTGAAATCATCAAAGCCACCCCTGTGTCCATTAAATCTATTGTCCAACTGACACACAGTGCATTTGTGATCTTTGCACTCAGATGTGTGTCCATGCATGGCCACCATTTGTACTGTAAAGTGTCACAAGCATTTCTGCATTTTCCATAGAAACATTCTTTTAAGTGTTCACTGACTTCCTTAAACATGGTTCCTAACCCTAACCTCCTGAGGTAGAAATTACTTTAACTTTTGTGTTAGGAAAGCCTTCAGCCACAGTGAGAACTGCAATTTTCCCTACATGAGAATTGTGCTACCTAACATATGCTTTTACTTACGTTAGATGCACAATGGTCAGAGATATGACAAAAGTACAAATGTTCCAGTGCAAAATTATTTTCTTTTTAGGGGAGGTTAGCTCAGGTAAATTTTGCTAAAAATGAAGGCACATTTTTCTTTATCTATTTATTTCTTTGACAAATGCATGGCTATGTCTCCACAGCCTTACTCGGGTAACAGAAAAGTCTGTACCCTTGAAACTTCCTAGGTGGCACATTGAGAGCAACCTTCCCTCAACAAGAAAAGACCTAAATAACACTGCTGCCTGCACCATGAAAGTATGTTTTACATATTCCTGACCACCAATATTCATGTTTCCTTTAATGAGAGACATCTAAACTGGGCAAATTGTTACTCAACTTTAGAGAAAAGTGAGATTTTCCCTCTTTTCAGAATCTACCTTGGCAAATTCTATTGATCAAATTCTAGAGATACCAGAATTACAAACATCTTTGTGGATCCCCTGCAAACATTTACAGTGCATGGCAAAGCTCATATCACCCTGTGCTCTTAGGTGGGCAACACTGAACACATCTGTGTGTTTCTAGTATACTTTGGCAGAACTAGCAAGTTAGGAAGAGATGACTCATGCACAGATGCTTGTGTTTTAAACAATTATGTGTGGCATGGGAAACTCTTCTTTGCTGATGTATATTTATGTTCCAAAGTAGGCACTGAATTTCAAGTTAAAATGAATATACAAAGAGGATTAGGTAGAAAATTCTTCCCATGGGGCACAAAGTTTCTCTTCTCTGTATAACTTTTTATTCATTAACTGAGACTGGGAGATCAGAAGGATGATGTGGGGTACAGAATCACATCTATCAGCAGTGCAGACTAAGGTTTACACAGTGCTGACATTAGGAGAGCAGACAGGGAGGCTGCACAGATGATCACGACTCTGAAGAAAGTGCAGAGAGATGAAATGTTGCAATCAATGAAGATGGAGGAACAATGGCCACAGAGGAGGAATGTGAGGGGCCTCCAGGATTTGGAAACCACAGGTGAGGGGTTCCTTGCAGGAGCCTCAAGATGGGGATGCAGTCTGAAGGTAAACCGAGACACTCTCCAGTTACAGCTACTACATGTGGTGCAGAGAGCTTTAGCTTCAAATAAAAAATATACTTAACGGTGTTGGGTCTTACAGAGTGACATCCTGGCTACCACAGATCAAAAATACCCTTGAGGTAATAAAAGGGGGCTGAGAAACCACACAAAAGAGAAAACTAACAAAAGGGAATGGGAGGACAAGCAAAGAAAGAAAGCAGAGGGAAAGATGCAGGAAAGGGGAGAGGAAAGAGGAATGAGAAAAGAAAGGGCAAATTTCAAACCCACCTTTTTGTTTGTCATCAAACCCTCCTGAGATCCTAGGTCATAGTCAATGCTACCAAAGATTTATACTGCAAAAATATCTGCTTCAGAGAGATTGGGACCTTCCAACCCTGAAGCTGATGTCGTGGACCTGTGCCATGGAAGAGAGAGAGAAAAGAAAATTCTCCATTCCGAGGTCAATCTTCTGTACAACTTTGACCCACCAGATGCTGTAGTGAAAAGTAGGCAGATTGTGACTGTATTTTAAAGGCAAAACACTTAAACTTCTTTGTCTTTCAGGATGTGAAGAACGAGAAGAAGGTGAAATTCAGGGCAACTGTTCCACTGGTTGAATCTGAGCAACTGGAGAATTTGAAATCATCTGTTGTGAGCTCAGGGGAGTTGAAGGGAAGCAGCAAGGAGAGGCAGGGGGCCTGAGCACTTGGAAGGGAGCAGCTTAAAATCCTGAGGAGTTGCCAGACACAGGCTCACACTTTCCTAGAGGCACAGGAGGGATTATGCAGATCAGGGAACTGCACTGAGCTACCAGGAACAACTACAAGAACAAGGCCAGTGTAAACAGATGAATGCAGACTGTAAGCGCTCAAAGCAAAGAGATGAAGAGAAATCCACAGGGCAGGCCAAGAAGGACTGGCTACTCAGATTTTTAAAAGGAACTGAGGAGATTCATGCCTCAGAGACAAAATAACATTAATAGAAAGATTTTTCAGTTTTCAAATGTAACCCTAACCTATATTACACTGAAAGGAAATTTCCCTTGGGGATCATTGCTATAAAAGAGGACACACTGTTTCAATTGTAGGATCACAACCCTTTGAGCAGGGGGAAGAAACTGAAGGCTTCAACTACAGAAATACACGTGTGCTGACTTCTTCTGGTCAGGGTCATGCACTGCAAGTTGCCGTCAATGTTCATCTTCTTTCAAATTGTTTACTGAAATATTTTGCTTACAACATTATGACCTAATTCAGCACTAGCAGAATTGCCACAGCTACCTCAGGAAGCTCTCAGCATTCAATGGGTCCATTATTTTCATTTTATTTATTGGAAACTTTCTCATACAGAACACTGGTGAAACATCATTTCCGTACTCCTAATGTGATCCATTTCTCTTGCAGTCATTAGAATTAACCCCAGCACACATCTCTGTCCTAGCCAAGCAAAGAATGCACAGCACGCAAGCCATTCTCCATGCTACTGAAATCAAGTGTCTTGGGCTCTGATCATCTTGCAATACACACTTGTAATGTTGCTATCAACACAGCCACTGATTGAAACTGTTAGCAGAAATAAACCAAAATCATAAATCAAATAAGTTTACCAATATCATATTGCCACAATATCACATTATCCTTGTTGACATTTATTTGTTCATAAGGAAGATCTTCTTTTTACCAACAATTCTGATATTTTTCCTGTGAGGTGCCTTTTGCACAATTTTGGATTGCATTAAAAGTTAATCATCCAAGTGACAGAGATGTGGGCACTTAATTCAATTTTGCACCCAAAGCAAATGCCTCACTGGCCTCACCCTAGTCTGTCCCATGTACCAGGGGCTCCACACACATGGAGGATTTTATGAACCTGAGACTTGTATCTTCATTGTGAAGACCAGCCCAGCCCTGAGAACAATGTAATCCATGTGTAAAAACTCAGGGCTTCCAGTCACAACCAGTGATGAAAGGCTCGGGTTTAAAATCCTACCATGCAAGTTCTGCCTTCTCGAGAGAAAAAAAAAAAAAAAAAAAAAAAAAAAAAACCAAAAAAAAAAACCACCCAGGCTCTCGCCAGGGTCACAGCCACAGTGGGGACTGAACTGAAGCTTGATTAGCAAGGGCAATGGCACCTGGCAATGAAGTCATGAGTCATGAGTCCATGAGCAGGAGAAGAATTCAGTAATCTCAGGGTCGAAAAGCAGACCCAGAAAACATGCACTGGGTAGAAAATGAGGCCCAGTAGGACACAAGGTTAGACAGCAGAGAGCAGGCAGGGCCGATCACATTGGATCAGCTTGCAGAGATGAGAAAAATCCCAAATCTAGGACTGCAGGTACAGTTCAGTGGCAGAGTGCTTCACTGGGATGTGGAGGTGCTGGGTCAGTCTTAATCATTCACAATAAAACAGGCAGAAGAAAACTCCCATCATCATCCATCACTAGACCAGTTGCCTCTGAATCTGTGGTCATGTATTGGGACATGAGCAGTGTTCAGACTTCACCAGATTCCAAACACAGCAGCCAAGGATGGCTACCAACCATGGGGCCTAGGGACCACGACAATAAGTCAGGACAAAGAGAAATCACTGAATAATTTAAGCAGAGAGTTGATTGCTGTGCATTTCTCTTTGTTTTCGAATAAAATGTTTTTATTTTTATTTCACATTTAAAGTGAGAGATAGATCATTCCTACATTCAAATGAAAATCACAGCACTGGGAAAAATACACTGACTTACACAGAATGCCTAAGATGAAGACCTGAGGATCTCATCCTGGGTCGGAAATGATCTCCATGCCTCCTCCACAGGGACAAAAACCTCTGGCCAGAGAATGACTCCATCCAGCCTTAAAAGGATGGTGAAATTTTCTGGTTGCAATGGAAGACTTCAGCCCTCGTATTACTCTGCATGGCTCTCAGACAGCATCAGGACCTTCAGAGATGCACAACTAAAGTGAGGCAGGAACTAGGGTGACATGCTCAAGGCCAGCTGTTAAGAGGCCACCTGCTGTGGCCACTGGGTGGATTGTGCTCCTCAGCGCTGGGCCATATTCCACCATCTCCATTTAATGCTGTGTATTCAGTGTTGCCACCTGCACAAGAAAGGATCACACAAATCCTCTTTGAATTTTCAATGAAACTAAAAATGAAAATATTACCCAACTCAGTACTTAACAGCTCCCTTGAAATTTCCAGAGTGAGAAAAGTTAGCCAGAAAGAATAACAGGAATTTTCCCCCAGGTGAGAATTGTGTAATTCAACATACTATTTTCTTTGTATGGGCTTCCATAATGCTCAATGTTACAGCATAGCCACAATCACAGAACTTTTTCCTTTTTAGGACAGGTGGATAGGAATAAATTTTGCATTTATGAAAAGCCACATTTTCAATATTTATTTCTATTGATTTTGACACATTTGTAACTGTGTGTTCAAAAACATATTCCAGCTGTAAGGCAGGAGCAGCACCCATTGGCTTTCCCCGTACACTCTGTTCACCCACCTCAAATGCACTGGAGACTCATTACTGCCTGCACCCTACATAAATGCTTTAGATGTCTCAGATGCTCATATGCAGCTTTCCTTGAATGTGGACACCACAGATTATGTAAATTGCTGTGTTGTTCTAGGGAAAAAGAATTTTATTTTCATTTTGTAGAATGTACCTCAGTTATTTCTGTTGTCGTAATTCTGTAGATATCTCAGCTGTAGGTGAGGATCTCATCTTGGTGCATCCCATTATATCTTTACATGGCACTGTCCACATCATCACGTGCTCCACCTGATATCACTCACTACATCTGCTCTCCTGGTACACACTAAGCAAAAAAAAAAAAAAAAAAAAAAAAAAAAAAAAAAAAAAGGCCGCTTCATACAATAACAGCTTTAAAATTCCCTACCTTCTTCACTGTCTGTCAAGAGTTGATGCTGATTTCAATTGAAAATGGAAGCATGAATGGAAAAAAATGTTAGCACATTATTTCCATAGGGAAACAAAGCTTTCCTTCCTCAAAAAAAGAATTCTTTTAATTAACTGAGGTTGAAAGAATGCAAGGTAAAATCACTGCAATGAGAAATCACACCCTTTATCCTGTGGACTGAGGTTTCTCAGTACTGCTGTCTGGAAATCACACAGGAAGGCGGCACACATACTTATTGAGTCCTGACCTAGATCCCTGATCTCCTAAATGAGTATACAATGGAGGTTTAGATAAAATGAGACAAGTGCTATGATTTTAGTGCTCCAGGAGGGCCAAATGCTTTAGCTTAGCTCCAGACATCCAGGGCTAAGACAAAGACTTCTCTGGACTGCCCACTTTTATTTATTAGGTCCAACAACAAAGGGCAGGGAAACCCAGGAAAATACAGGCAATGAGCAGGAACCTGAGAGTCACTTCAAGGACATCTCCAAGTAATGAATCAAGTCAATTCAGTAGAACTGTCTTATCATAAAGACATGGTAAAAATGAGACAGTAGGAGTAATCCCTGCAGCTGCAGTTGCTATTTACTTAATTGATGTTTGAGCCAAGTGTCCATAGATGCAGCCTAATCTTACCATTTGAGGTATATCTGGCTTCATAGATGACTACAGGACTCAGCCAGGACCAGTGATTCATAGAGGTTCACTTACTATGAACGAGCTCCCATTGCCAGGCAAGGGGCAGACGTCTAGAACAGACTCACAGATAAACATAGAAAGTAAATTAGTTAACGTTAATTCCTGCTCAGAGCCACTTCACAGTGATCTCCAACAGGTGTGACCTGGAGAGGGGCCAATAGATGAAAAGCTGGGAGATGGGAAGATGAGGGACACAGACTCGTGATGCCTCTAGGAGCTGAAGAAGGACAGATTCACTCCTAGAAACTCCAGATTGAGTGCATCCTGACAGCATCCTGGCTCTGTCACACTGAACAGTGTGTTGGATTCTGATGTCCCAAACAGTAAAACGATGACTTTTACAGACTCAAGACATAATTTCATACAAAATGTTACTGTAGAAATAGAAAAGTAATGTGGATGTCTTTACTGAGTTTTCCTGTAAGTCTCTTCCATAATAAAGGATGTAAGGAGCTCCAATCCATTTAATTTTCTGCTGAACACTGTCACCTTCTTTATCAGGAGGAATGGGACATAGTCTAGGCAGATGGAGAGAGGCCAATTCCTGTGTCACATGGGCAGCAAACAGCAGGATGGACACCAAAATGAGTTTGTGCTCCAGGATGAATCACGCAGGGAGAATGACTACAACACTGCTGACAGTCATAATGTGCCATGTCTTTAACTTAGCTGCTGCTGATGATAACAGTGAAATCTTTTCCAGACCCATGGCCACTCAACTGGTGAGAGACCCCAGATTCTCAGGTGTCTGTCCAGCAAATGAGCAGTTCCATCCTGATGGAACCAGGATAAGTAGCTGACCTGCTTGACCTGAGCATTGGCTAAGCAGTCAACTTAAGGAAAGCCTGAACTACAAAGTGAAAACCTGCCTCAAAATCCTCAAAAGTAAAAAATATATATATATTTCAAAAGAATTACTACCCTAATAATAATTTTCATTAACTTAGTGAGTATGTACATATATGCATTTATATACAGCTATCTATATACATTTTAGATGTATATTCATTCATGTGTGTATAAAAATAGATATCCAGTAATATATAAACATCTATTGAGATACATTTCTATACATACATATATATATATATATATATATATTTACAGTGTACCTATTTACATGTTAATATATGTTCATACATATATTAACATCTCTCTATTGAAATAAGTAGGACAGGATATTCATCAACTAAACTAGTACCCAGAAATTGCATATGGGTTACCTAAGGCACAATCATTTTCCCCTTCTCCACATGCCTTCCACAGGACACTTAGTTCTCTTGCTGACACATATATATATTTTTTTAATCTTCCAGGCAAATTCTGTTGACAGCAGTGCCCCATGGTGTGTAACCACTGGGCTAGTGAAGACTAATATCTCAGTAGTTCACTTGGAAATGACATTTTCCAGAAGCCCTCTGCAGGCTGAGCAGTAAGTGCAGGTGGGTGTGGTTTCCTTACTGGGGAAGAGCACTATGCCCCAAGTTCCAATACAGAAAAAGCTTTTAGCTATCGGATCCTTTCTCATAGTACTGGACACCAGGTTGACTTTGTGTTTTATGCTTTTGCCCCAAATACAGAGATTTGAAACAACTTTGCTCAGGAGAGAGGCTTCCTATCCTGCCCTTCACTGTACCTACAAGGGCATTTGCATAGAGTCCCCAGGGAGGCCTTCACAGAAAGTCCCAGATAAAACCTCAACTCACCTTGACTCATCTGAACCCTGGCATCTGCATGTCAAAATGGTGCTCCCTGCTCAGTTAATGTGGCTGCTAATGCTCTGCATTCCTGGGAAGGATGCAGGGAGATGAGGAAGGAGAGGGAGTGAGCAGGATGGGGTCCAACTGTTTCCTGAGTTGTTCTTTCCACATGAGAGGCTGCAGGCTTGTTTCATAGGATGAGAGCAAGAGCTTGAGGGCTGTGTGAGTGAGGAAGATTCCACTGGAGCTGGGCGCTATGGTGAGGGGATGATGTCACAAAGAAAGAGAAGGATGATGCACATTAATTCTCAAGAAGGGTTCTAATCCTCAATACTTTATTGTAAGTGAACATAATTTTGTTTGAAATATGAAATAAATAAGAAAATATGAAATAAATCATGATGCCTGTATATGACCTCATCTTTCTCTCTAATGCTTTAAGGTCCAGAGGAGATATTCAGGTTACTCAGACCCCACTCTCTCTGTCCTGTGCACCTGGAGAGCCAGCCTCTGTCTCCTGTCGGTCCAGTCAGAGTCTCCAGCATAGAGATGGGAAAAGCTATTTGAGATGGATGGTACACAAGCCAGGCCAGACTCCACAGGACATGACTTTTCAGGTTTCCAAAAAGAACCTTAGGGTCTCAAAAAGCTTCAGTAGCAGTGCAATGGGAACAGATTTCACACTCAAAATCAGCAAAGTGGAGGCTAAGGATGCCTGATTTTATTACTGTTATCAAGGTATAGCATGTCCTCCCACAGTGATGCAGCCTTGAGAAAAAACCTCCCTGCCTGGGAGGCTCAGCTGGTCTCCTGCACTGTTGTGCACATTGGTAATTTCTTAGTACATGGGAGAGAAATTGGTTGAAGGCCACAGTCTAGGGTGCATAGGAGGCTTCTGCACGGGACTAAGTAGAGAAAAATCCAAGGAGCATAACGACCTATGTTCTGGTGCGGATTCAGACACCTGTGGCTGACTTGCACAGGTTCCTTGAGTAGTGCAAGTTCTAGTCTTTTCTGAATTTGGATGTAAACTTGAGATGGTTAATGAGAAGAAATTGATGTATAACATTTGTACTCAATCTGCCTTTTATCTCTTATTATGTAAGGATCCCTAGGGGATGAGGTGGTCGGCACAGTTCACTCTGTCTGGTGAAAGACTAGAAAACACAGCCTACACCTCAGGAAGCATCACAGAGGTAAAGAGGTCCCTCTGGATCTTCAAGTATGGGCCTGATCCAATTGCAGTACGGGAAAGGGTGCCTTGTGGAGAGCTAAAGCCATGAGCAGTAATGATCACGGCCATGGATGCACTATGTTCTATTACATATTCCACATCAAGCTGGTGGCACAGCTGGGCACCCAGTTTATGAATCTGAGCTCCACAGAATCCAGGAGTGACTTGAATACAGAAACAAGCCCTCATTTGTCACAGAAATGCCACAGAATGCACTAATATAACAAAGATGCAAAGGGGCAAGAGAATTCTCAGGGAATTCTGCCCACTGATCAACAGAAGTTCAACAGGGAATTTACACCTGTGTTAGGCCCTATCTTTCCATTTTTACTCACCAAGTTAAGGAAATACAGTAAAAAACAATTAAATTTAACAAAAGTATGAACTATAAAAATAGAAGGGTCAAAAGAACACAGTGAACTAGAAAGACACAAATTAATAAAGAAGAGCTTAATAATATAATAAGCTTAAAAGGGGGCACAGAAAAAGAAAATAAAAAGCATAATAAAACAAGAAAATGTATAACAGAAATGGAAAACAAGAGATCAAAATATTGGATCATATTAAATATAAGTAAATAAAATTAACAAAGTGAAGAAAATCACAAAACAAGTCAGAGCAAATGAAATGAGCCCTAAAATAATCTTGATGAGACTAACAGATGAGAGAAATATTTTTTTTCTGGGTTTTCTAATTTTGAATTAGTACTTATGTGAGGAGAGTGGTAAATCCCTGCTCAGCACAAGGTGTATTTCCCTCACCAACAGATGATTCTGTTGATAGGTGAGCTCTGCTGTGTCTTAGGCCCTGGGCAGGGCCAAGAAAGCATGTGTGCGTGTGTGTGTGTGTGTGTCTGTGTGTGTGTGTGTGTGTCTGTGTGTGTGTGTGTGTGTGTGTGTAAGCACATGCACACATGTAGTTCCTGCCATGCACATAGCTTTTCAGCTTGCTGGCCAGGTAGGCACACAGTCATGCAAAATTCTCCATTCTGTGTCCTCAGGGGTGGAGCCAAGGTGCACTTCAGGGCACATCTGCAAATGTGTCACAAAGCAGAGGAAACAAACTTACCACTGACTCCTACACTGAAAGGGGCAGCAGAAGAAAGAACAATCTCCCACTTGGTCTTACTCTCCCATACATCAGAACCAGGCCCCTCGGCCAGCCACATGTGATGGGTCCGCTGGTCTCCACACAGTGCAGTGTCCTCCACAAAGGGAGTGGCTAACTGCTTCAGTTCTGAGAAAGCATGAGGATGACCTTTCCCCTCTCCACAAGTGTCTCATGTGGCCAGCTCTTACCAAGAGCTGCAGCACTGAGTGCGGAGGGTCCACTCTGTTTTCTGATGCCCCAGAATAATTCACTGCCAAGAACTGGGAATTTCTCAGGATGGCTCATACTCCACTCAAACATGGTGGAGAAAACAAACAAAAGAGAGAACCAACAAAAGGGAATGGGAGGATAAGCAAGGAAAGAAAGCAGGGAGGAAGATGCAGGAGAAGGGAGAGAAAGACACGAGAAAGGGACAAATTTGGGATTCATTTTTTATTTTTTGTCACCAGACCTGCCTGAGCTGCTGTCATTTCATCTGAAAGTACTGAAGAGCACAGCAAAAAGGAGCTCCAGTCTCCACCTGGGCATGGGCTCTGCAGCAGCCTGGGGCAGGACTCACTCTGCATGGCCTCCTGGGCATGCTAAATTTAGCTGGCCCAGAAGGGCTCTCTCTGAGTGAAGTGAACAGCAAAGGGACAGTAGAAATTACCCTTCCCACAGTGGCTGTGAACTGAAAAGAGACTTCTAAATACAGTGGGAAATGACTAGATTAAAAACAAACAAGATTTCTTGAAAGTAATGAGTGTAGATCAATGTGACCAATATATCTGTATTTCAACAAAGTCTGCTTCAGAAGGATTGGGAGTTTTAAACCTTGAAAGTGATTGAACATAGTCTTCTTTGGGAGATGCCCACCTAAAACCCTGTCTGGAGGTGGACACAACCATGGAAAATCCTCAAGAATGCTCACAAATGCTACATAAAGGGCCATAGATTACAAAGTCAGAGATTCTAGGTACTAAATTTTAAATATATAAACTAAGTATTAGTGAAAATATCAGATAGAAAAGTACATTTCCCATACTTCTGATTTGGTACTTAGAGAAGATGCTGAGGAAATCAATTATAAACATGTTATTATTTGAAAAATGAAGCAAACTAAAGGAAAAAATAAATCTAATCAGCTGTGTAAAATTGACATCTCAATACTTTTTATACACACTGTAAATCATTCAAATTATGTTTATAATCAATCCATAATTACTATTCAATTTGTGTTTTATTATTTGATTTAATCAATATGATACCATCTTTGCTTTTGCTTTCAGGAGATTATTGCTAAGCTTATTTTCTTAGTTATGAAATATTACCATAAATTTTTATACTCTGATGTGAGTCTCACCTAAGATGCTGGGATTCTTCGATATAGCACAACCAAAGTGCATGTGGTTTTTAAAATGTCCTGATTTACAAGGACAAGAATACGAAAGCTGATGCAATGTGTCTGAGTCTGATGCTAACAACTCATTGTTTCCTCTCCATCTATGCTAAACTTTAGAACTTTGTTATCTGACTGTTCCAGTGAGCTGTAATTTAACTTCTTTCATTTCATTTACTACTGATTCATGTGAGACAAATGAGGAGCAACGTGTTAAGAGTCCAGACAAACCCAACAAGTGAACATTTCAACTTCTCAGACTGTTTGAGTGAACCTACACATTCAGAAGACAAACTCACTCAAGACAGATAGTAACAGTCAGCCCAGCACACTGAGGCTGAGACAGGAGAATGGACAGGTGGAGCAGAAACTGGGCAACTGAACAAGACACTGAGACTCAGTATCAAAGCCAGAGAAATACAAAGACAGGTGATGTAGCTCAGTGTGAATGTCCTCAGTTTAACACCCATGCCCCCAACACACACACAGAGGGTGAGAAGCACATATAAGAGAGTCCTTGTTTACAATAAAAGCATGCATCACACATTACTTATTTACCTATTTTACCACACACAGTCTTTCTCACATATGTGACAGGTACACTGCAGCTCATGGGCTGCCATAACCAATAACAGAAACTTACAGACCAATGATAGCATGGCTTTACTCTCTCACAGCTTTGGAGGAACTCTCAACTGACCCCCTTTCCATAGTGACCATCTCAGATAACCCCAGGGCCATGTCAGCCATTAGTTCAAATTACCTTGAGATGTTAAAACACTGGATTCAGTCATGACATTCTGCTATTGAGAATGTCTCTTTAAACATGGAGCATGGTAGTACAATATCTATTAAAAAAAAAGTAGGTAATGGAGAAAGCTCCTGGCAAAAAAACCATTAATTAGCTGTACAAAATTGACATCTCAATACATTATATACAAACTGTAAATCTTTCAAATCATCTTTTAATCAAGCCAGAAACATTATTCACAACTCAAATTGTGTTTTGTTATTTGATTTAATCTATGAAATATCACCCTTAACTTTGTCTTCAGAAGATTATTACTACAGTTATTTCCTTACATATGAAATATTAAAATAACCTCTTATACCCTGATGTAAGTCTCACATAAAATACTGGGATACTTTAATATAACACAGCCAAACTGTATGTCATTTTTAAAACTCCTAGTTTCCAAGGACAAGAATATGAAAGCTGACTCAATGTGTCTGAGTCTGATACTAACAACTTGTGGTCTCCTCTCCATCTTGGCTGAACTTCAAAGCTTTGCCTTGGAACTGCTACCGTGAGCTGAAATTTATTTTCTTCTGTTTGACCTCCTACTTCAGATTCATGTGAGACAGATAACTTAAGGGATTTAAGAGTGCAGAGACATCCAATAAATGAACTTTTCAACCTCTTGAACTATTTAGGAAAAACACACACTCACAAGTTAAAGTCACTTAAGACAGATGATACACACCTGCCACCTTAGTACACAGGTGGCTGAGGCAGGAGAATA